CGCCAACCTGAACGTCGTTTAAAAGCCAAACAGCTGCAGTACAACGGGATTCATCCGTCATATTCTGGTGAGATCGCCCAAGGAATCTCTTCTTTATGCACTTTCATACGAAATGAAAGTCCCAAAACAATGTCATCCCAGGAGATTAATCGAAACCCAGTTTAAATAAGTAAGTTAAAAATTGTTAGTGAACGCATGAGACGAAGAAATAGGATTGGTGATTAGCCCAGGGAAGAGAGAGAGATACCGCGATTGTTTAACAGATAATTAGTCAAGTTATCGGCTTCAATGGTATCTTTGACGAGTTGTAGTGTGGTGCTAAAAATGGCAAGACTTACTTACGATGCCGACTATGATGCTGGCGAAACGTCTGGGAATGTACCACGTCCACTGTTGTCTATGGAAATTATCATGCATTATAATGCACTCAGGACTAGGTGCGTTCGTATAAGTCTTCTAACCAATATGAAAACGTTGCGAAAACAAAGTCAAACAACTTCTATACGAAGAAATGGGATAGTTTGCATTGAAAATCAATAAACCCTCGCTATTCGAATTCTACTCCTTTTTGAAGTGAATTAGTATTTTTTTGATTAGTTGGTTAATATGCTTTATCTTTTTTTCTCTTGAAACTAGACGCTACAAATTGATGAACCGCTTCGACTTCAGTTACTTTCCACACTTAAGGATAATCTACTCGATCGCCGCCTCAAAACTAATTCCTCTAACCCTCTGTCAGCCAGGTCATCTTTCCAACATCCGCCTTCGCTATTAAAGACATCTCCTCTAGAGCCATTTCCTGTTTTCCTATCAGACGTTCCTGATTCTTTTGTCACTTACCCTTTGACTCTCCAACCTATCACTCCGACAACCTGCTCTCAGTCTATTCAGGATGAGATCTCACCTGCTTTTTTTGATCGTACTTTGCTGGCTAGCTGTGCTGAGGCTAGATCAACGTCTATTTCAGGTCCCGTGCTGACGTGTTCCTCTGATTCGGTCGAACTGAATAGTAAACCTGGGGCTCTGGGCGCGATTCTTCAATCTGAGCCTATATCAATTAAAGATGGCCAATGTGACAATAGAGGAAACGTAAACAAGCCCTTATGTTATATCGAATCTGTGAAAAAAGATGTCAGGCCTGGCTTGACTTCTCAGATTTATGCTCCGCACGATTCTGCTTCTGGTTCTAAAATAGAAAGTAAGAATAGGCCAAATGACAGTTGCCAAGTCCCAATTATTGTGCCCGAACCACGAGAGGCACGCGTCCAGATTCTGAGAGAGCTGGAGGAGCTTGAGGGCACACATGACTATCGGGATAATATGGTTACACAAGGTGGTTCTGAATCTATACAACACCTCTCTGCTTCGGCCATTACGGGAATAAACGGCGTAAGTAATAATGTGTTTCTACAACTATAACTATGCGAGGCATTAAATAACAAATTAAGTTCCTTGACATTCGTAACCTATTTTTTTATCGGATAGTAACGGCTTCCTTGTATAGGTCTTACGTAAGCTTATTCAGACTCTTTGTAGTGGGCATCTATTTTCACACTTAATTTCATTTTTATTTTACATTTTGTTGAGGCTCTGAGGACAGTTGTTGATTCCCGCTGAATTGGGATGCATACATCATTAAAGTTATATGGTTGCCTCAAAACCCCTCTGATTCATTGTATCTAACCTGGAAAAAACTCAACACTAGTTTATTATGATTTCCGACATCGCACATGGCTTAATCTTCATTTCATCTTAGAAATTAGTCTATCTTTGTGCATAATATTGCATAGAGATCTCCTTTTTCGACAAAATTTATCACATATATATATATATATATATATGAATCTATACTGTATAGTCTGTACTCAAATTTATAGGGCTAAGAATCTGAAATTTTTTTGATTTAAATACCATATTAACCATTGTATACTTTTTAGCTTTTGCCTACTTTAACTCAACCTTTGTGTTCTCATCTTTTGGATGTGACGGACATCGTCAGAGCAGGACACTAGGCTTAAAGATAATTCGTCAAGCACAAAGTCAAATGTCCACTATTGGCTAGCACATTTTCTGCCTTTATTGTCTTGTAATCTTATCTATCATCTCCTCCCTTCTATCTTTATTGATTCAGTTGGATGATCCTCAACTCATACCCGCATCAGTCACATCTTTTGACTGTTATTCAGGGGGAGATCGGCCCTTGCAATTTAGTGATTCGCCATCTTTCTTGTTGCAGCGCCGACGGGCTGAGTTGCTGCGTGTTAACACGCGACTTGCACAGCACAACCTCTTTCAGTTTGCCCAGTTATTCCCCGATCGTATGTCTGGCACTAACATCCATTCCGGCCAGTCAGATGACTCTAATGTTGGCATTTCTTCTTCACCATTACCCCCTGCTGTTGATGCAGACGAGCCCCCAGATTTGAATCCTAGCTGTCCTGCCAGTCCTCCCTTACCTTCGCCTCCGCCTACCCCTACTCTCACGGTTTTCCAGGCATCTGAATGGCACGTCAACTCAACACCTCTGGCTCCCAATCTCGATCATATTAATGAGCCTTCTTATGAATCTACTTCCAATATACCGCCTCCATCGAACCAATCACCATCGCAACCTCTATCGGCTCTTAGCCCTCGTAACCTGTGTTTAGCTGCTACATCGGAAAGTGCCGATTCTGTTGGATTCTCTTCATCCACTCTTCCTTCCGTAAGCCGCCTAAGCCACTGCCTAACTTCTGTCACATCAGGCCAGTCACACATTGATTCGTCGAGCCTGGGTCTACTCTTCAGCTCAGTGCTTGATGCGCGAGCTAGCTTTGATGTAGCTAGCCGGTCCTGCACGAGTGGGTTGAATGAAAATTTGACCGGCGCTAGCCAAAATTTTTCATCCAATCAGGTTAGGCTAAATAAACATCTTTATTACATTTAGAGTGAGTTGCTTCTATTCGTAGAAATAGGTAGCATAAGATGATTAAGGACTGTGAAGGACTTTCCCACATTGATATTTCTAGGCCTCAAGATTCCAGGTACTATAATTTAGGGCGGACTGCATTTTTAATCTCGCCTGGGTCTCATCAACGCCTTCAACTATAATTGAACCCAAGTTGTGCAGTGATTATTTTCGGTATGTTACCCCTATGTGACACTACTACATGTGACAGTGAGTCACGGGGTAGGTGTGACCTTCAGGACAAGCAAGGCCTCCCATTTATTCTATGTTAGGATTGTCAATGAAGCAAACTTTGCTTGTACTACTTTGCTACTACAATCTACCTGATTACTTGTATTTATACATTATTTAACTAGAGGAAAATCGGATTGACAATAGGGATCACCAAGGTACAAATTAGCGCCTGATTATACTCCTCTGAATAATTAGATAAACTATAGTGGCAAATTATTCATGCTAAAATATTATGGAATATATGCATCACTGGAGCGGAATCACAGGAAGCCAAATCATTTTTCTTAGATTCTTTTCTCTGCTAGATATTTTCTTATGAGAATAGGATAAAATTAGGCGAAGTATATAAACATGAAATGAAGGGAAGCTTATAGTTCTTATGATTCGAATATTAGATTCTAGAATAAGATGCTGTTATTGTGACTACATGACAAAGAATATATAGCTATTTAGACGAGACTTTATAGGTTTAAATGACTTCGGCAAAAGTAGGGTTTTAAAGCTTAACTGTCACACAAAAGAAGAAATTCTCATATTATCTGAGTTAATTTTACTTCAAGTATCCATTGCTTCTTTGACTTTGATTTGCCACAGTCCTTTTGCCATCTATCTGGGGCTTGATTTTTGTCGATGAATATCTGTTGTAAGTGTTTAATTGTAGTAATGCCGAGTCTACCCTAAATGAATTAAATAAAATTCTTAATTTGTTAATTGGTTTTCTCTTCGTCATCCACCCGAGAGGTAATATCTTACGCTCCTCATCTCTCCTCATTCACTATTTGAGTTTGAGAGTGACTAATTTTTTCATTACAGTAATTGCTGTGTAACTCATTAGAGATAGAGTTGTTTGTCTTACGGAGTTATCTTGTTTTTTTCAATCTGCATGCCCTAATTCGTATATTTATGATGCTTAGGAGAGTTTGAAGCCACACCAATTCCTTGATAAAAGCTATCTTCTCGAATTCATGGTACAGTGAGATTTGCTGCAAAAATGCAGCCTTTCCTTCTTTTCATGAGCATATTCACAGGTAGTCTAAAAGCTGTTCGAAATCGGTACGCATATGCGATTTCAAGGCTTAAAAGAAGAAGGAGATCACTGAGATAATCGGTATATTTTGTTGAATTTCAGGCAAGAACAAGTTTTAATATCTCCGAGAATGTCAATAATATATTTTTCATGTATTTTATAAGAGCTATATAGATTCTCCTGCGCTAGTACCAATGCATGTAGACATACTTCTACTATTTACTTCGCATAGAAGAGCTTGTTTAATCTAATATAATACCCCATGATGCACTAATCATAAAATCTTTCTATCATGATTTACAAGTTTATTTAAAATAAAGTATTTCTGATTAAATCTCAATTTAGTGCATTGGAATTAAGCCATTTTTATTCTCATTGTCCCTTCGAATGACTTATTTGACAGCAGCGATCTATGTAGATATATGCTTTCCAAAACTTTATATTTACTTTTTTAATATCATCACTTTTTTCTGCTCTATCTTTAACAAATCTTGTCACAGCCACATACCCAGACTGTTTCAGTGTCGGATGAAGTGTTTACCTGTCCTTGTGGTAATCCTAAACTGTGTCCATTGTCGATGGAAAAACAAATGCTTCTGGTACATGATCTATTTTCCTGCATTTTTCCAATCTCATTTATATAATTTGTCAGTGAATATATTCTTATCGTTGATTCAATTAATAATCCACGTAATGCCTATCTATATTTTGATTGCTCCTCTTAAAACTTTGTTTTTGATCTATCCTTATTCGATGCAAAGTAATCAAGGGCAAAAGAAAGAGCAGGAAATGGTGATTGACTGAGCAAATCATTGATTTTATATTATTTAATTATCTAATTTAAATTTAAAATTTCACGAATTAAAATTCATAGCAAGGGACTTTGTTTTTACTATTTACAGTATTGAAAAGTTAAAGATTTGGTGTTATATTTTTAAATGTATGGTTATAATAAAGATACTAAATTATTGATGTTGTTTGACCTTGGTTTCGCAACTCCGTCATATTAGCAGAAATACCTAGAGGAACACACCTTGTCTAGAGTCC